TTTTATTAAATTTCTCAGTGGCATGTGGCATATGGCATACTTCTGAACCACAGGAGTGGACTTTTTTTTTCCCATCCTGCTGTCTCTTTTAATATCATTGAAGAAAAAGCCAGCAGCAGACAATGGTGATGGTAGCTCTTCTTTGACTGGTCACAGGAGTTAAAAAACATGAAAGATTTCAGTTCTGATCCCAAGATCTCTGAAAAAAAGGTTTTCTAAAATCAGTGCTCAAGATGCACAGTCTAAGCCTTTTGTTGTATTATCAGTTAACCTGCATTCAAGTGCTTTCCCACATTTTTTTTCCCTGTGTGAGTATGGTCCACCTTGTGGGTAGAAGGTCTTGTTTACTATATTTAAAATGAAATTTATTAGTTCTTATATCTATATCTATGTATATATATCTATATGTACATATATCTATCTTACAAAGTGTCACATATGGATCCTTACACCAGTTATGCACAAGACTGAATCTGCAACTCTGTCAGGACTTACCTTATTTACTCATCTATCAGCAGAAGATTTTATATTCTAGTTCAGTATTAAGCTTCATAGCTCAGTATCTTGTTTCCAACAGTTGCTACACAGAAAACTCTAGACAAAAGCAAAAGCAAATCAAGTATATTGACATTTCACAGATACTTTCAGCTCAGAAATTTGTACTAAGATGGCATCACTCCTGATGTGATTGCCTTCATTGCTTTGTAGTTTATGCTACGAAAAGTTTGAGACTCCCCTGGCTTAAGAATACGACTGTTAATGAAAAATACATACTGATAATATTGAGAAACCATTTGATTTTACCTCTTGCTAAAGTTGGAGAGATTATGAGAGCACAAAGAAAACTTCAGGTCAAATATGGTTTCACCTACATACAGCCTATTCTGATCTTTTGCTAATGAGTGCCATTATTGTGTGGCTTTGTGAGATTTACAGTGGTGGAAATTTCTCAAAGTCCAGTATTATAAACATGTATCGTTTCATGCAATGGGTCTTCCTCCTAGAACTGCCACTACACATCTTACAAGTCTTATATACAGCCTATATACAGTTCTAGGAGAAAAGAAACCAACCAAACAAAAGAATATAATTTACAGAATAAAAATTAATCAAGACAATAAATCTTCTAAAGTCATGAAAGATTCTCTTTTTGATCATTCCAAAATGATGGAAAGAATCTACTCTCTACAGTTTAAATCACCCAATGTCCTCAAGTCTCATATTAACATGCTGAAAGTTATTAAGACAGATGTCTGTAGCTGTGTAAATTCTGTGATAAAAAAGTATCTGAATAAGCAGGAAATTAGTCCTGAAATATTGTAAAATCCTGCTCTGTTAATATACCCCGAGGAGGATGTTACAGCTGAGGTTTAGATGTACTTATATAAAACTCCTTATCTTGAAGCTAATGAAGAGATACTGACAGTTTTACTGCAGTGTCTGTGAAGTGTTCTAACGACTACAGATTAATCAGTTTCTAAAACAGCATTCCCTAGTGGTTCCTCACCCCAAAAATCATAACCCAAAATGAGCAACAGTATGTCTTTAATAATTAAAAACCCCAGACAATCAAACAAACAAAACCAAAAAAACAACATTAATAAAAAACAAACCCCCAGCCCTTCACCTCCTTATGTCAGGAAAGCTGGAAGCATTATAGTTACATTCTCCACAAGAAAAAAAGCCAGAGATTACAGTGGATTTAGTGAAGCAGTCAGTTAATTGTTACGGTGAGGGTTTTAATTTTCTTCTCAGTGTAAACCACAATCGAAGAAAGCATCTGCCACCTCTGATATTTCCTGTACAGCAAATTTAAATGGATTAATCACCCTGCTTGTTCTGAGATTCTGAATAATGACGGGCACTTTTCAATGGTCTGTGGAGTCCCTGGCTCATTGGCTTTTAGCTGTCTGGGGGGAATTGGTGGGGCTATGGAATGATTTAAAGACAAATTAAAAAATAAATCATGCTCAAACATTGTTCCCACCCATTTCTACACCCTATCATCAGACACTGATTAAAATATTTTCTTGGAGACCTAGTGGGTTTGCTAGCAGACTATCAGGATAGGATTGTAGTTGATCTCGGTCAAATGAGGATTCTTATGTTGACTTTGTGCAGGAAAATTTTTACAAGTCCAGCAGAATTCCTAATGTAGTGGTTGATACAAAAATTCTCAGTCAATGGCCATTTTTCCAAATAACTTCTGTGACTTTTGTGTTCTATCCACTCCTCCTCCTGAGTTCATGGAAATTTGGCAGCTTCCAGAGCCCACATGAACCGTTCACTGGCAACTTTCTTGTCTTGTCACATGGTGCCTTTCTCTTCCTTTTCAATTCCTAAATCCCATTAGAAAAAAAAAAACCTACCTGGGAGGTGAGGAGTGGGAGGGGAAGCCAAGTCTGCCCAGTGCTCATCTTACAGGTACACAGTGTCGGTAGTTGCAATGGGGCTCTTGCACAATTCTAAATGTGAAAGATGGTACAAGAAAAAAAAATCTCATGTAAGGAACATGCTTCACTGCTTAAGAGAAACTCCTGATCCACAGAAGAAAATGAGAAGTTGGGAACGAAAAAACGTGGCATGATTTACTTGTAAGAAAATCTTTGCTTTTCTAAAGAGAGTACATCAGACTCCTATGCTTCTTTCATTGTTTTTCGATAGTGTTTTTTCCTTGTGATCCTCACATTCCTACTTTTCAATTACTTTCTCTTTTTTATTGATTTTTGCATTTCACTGCCTTAAAATGTATTTCAGAGAGAAAATTTGCATTTGTCCATTCATTATATTATTAAAAAAAAACAACAAAAAAACCACCCAAAAAACAAAAACCCCAAATCTGTTCTATTAGGAACCACTTTTTAGTATTTCCATGAGGTTATTAAAGTGAAGAGATTTTTTTTTTTTTTGTGCCTGGGTTAAAATGAATCATAGCGAAGGTCTGTAAACCAATATAAAAACAAATGCTGCCAAAACTCATCAGCCTTGAAAAACTGAAATGATGGGAGGATAAATAGTTGTTTTGGTGAGAGTAGTGTATATTTGCATGAAATATAGAAAAAAAATCATGTAAGATGAGCTCACAAATGTATGGCTGTAATCTCTTCTGCTTTCATTTTCTAACTGGAGCATTGATTTAAACAGCCTGTGAAACAGCATGAACTATAACAAGATAACTGCCTTGGCTGTACAAACTGGCTGGTTTTAAAGGTATTAATGCCTATGTAGGTATGAAAAAGAAGATCTTTTACCTAGGTATGTAAATGTGCCTTATGTATATTCACTAATTAACCTTCACAATAAACCTGCAAGTTAAATAAAAACCATGAATCAATTTTTCCATGCACAAAGCTGTACCAGATTGGAAAACAGTTACTATTTCTGAATATAAACCAATATTTTTTTTTAAAAAGTGCAAAGGCAAATTACTCATTAATGAATTTAAAACAGACATAAACACCTTTATGACGTTCTTAGAAATGTTGCCATAAAGAGTGTAATGACCATAGGATTCAGATTCCTATCAATGTCCCAGGGAAAAAAATCCTTCCACTTCAGGAATAAAATTTTATCCCCTTCATGCTCTCTTAGCCATGTTCAGATGAATCAGGGATAATTCACAGGAAGGACAAGTAATTACTACATTTTTCTATTCCAGTGACAACATAGGTACGTAGCTTCTTTTCAGGTTCAAAGTACAGCTAAAAAAATATATATTATTTGAACACAGGGTTTATAATTTACAGCATGGATTGAAGGGTATAAACAACACATTTTTCTGATGGGTTTGTCAGTACACAACATAAAAGAAGAAGCAATGGTCTCCATGTCAGTAGTGCATTATTTAATCCAGACTACATAACGACTGGATGATCAGACTATGATGTTTCTAAGCCATAAAAAACCTTTTTAAAAATTTTTCTACAGAAATTCTTTTCCAAAAAAATGTTGTAAAAATATAATCTTTTCTCTCAGTGATACATTTGTTTTGACCAATCTTTTCATTTCAATGGTGGACAAGCAATGGCATTTTCTTCTCAGAAAGTATTTTGAGATGAGAAGAGATACAGGATTAGTCAAAGGAATGGTGAGAGACTGAAGGGCAAAGAAAGGATTGGAGAACACATAGAAAGGGGAATGTGATTTGTCTGTCCACAAAGGTGACAGATACAAAATACCCACATGTGCTTCCCTACAGAAAGCAAGTGATTACTGAAACAGGAAAAAAATGTAAAAAAAAAAAAAATAAAATTCTCAATGATAACAAAATAAGAAAATTAAAAAAAAAAAAAAAAAGGCAAACAACCAAGTACCTCTTGCCGGAAAATTATCCAGAGAGTTAGGTTTCATATGTAATCCATGTAGTAAGTGAATTTGGGTTATTCTTTACAGCTGGGTTTGAGTATGACTGTTTGCTTCTCTTCCAGCTCAGGTGTCTGTCTGGACACGTGTATGACATGTACCTACGTGAGTCATTGATAAGGTAAAAAATACATGTCTGTAGTATGAGTCTGAATTATCTGGATTCAGGCAGACATAGAATTTTATCCTGATTTTGTCAGCCAGGCCCCAGTAGTTCATGACTGCGACACCACATACCAATGTGTGTAGGGATAGGTCTGAGCTCCAGTAGCCAATTTCACCTCTTTTCCCTCCAGGTCTCTGCAGGAATAAGGATCCCTCCAGACCTACAGTAGAATGAACATCAACATACAAACAGCAGCTAATCATTTAAGGCTGGTTGTGTTGAAGGGGGAGCCCAAGCCAGGTGCCCTGGGCTGTGCTCTCTCATATACATAATATGTTTATTCTACTGTACAAAACTGTGATAATTCTAGGTGGGAAATCACTAAGTATATGGAAGTTATTAGTGAGTTTTCATCAAGAAAGCTGGAGAGAGAAGCTGAGAGTATAAGCCATACAGCTCAGTCTCTCAGACAGAGAGAGAAATTGGGAACAATATAAAAACCCACTGGCAAAGGGAAAGTATTTGGGAATGTTACAAGCAACATTATTAAGACAATATAACCTAAATTTTCTCTTGTTAAGTGGATTAAAAAAGAATAAAAGACAGCTACAGTGATTTTGTGAAGAAAAATCAAAGGTGTAAAGATGAAAACTGAAGGAATTGAAAAGAGGGGAAACGAAGGCTAAGGAATCTGTGAGTGGGCTCCTGATGGTGTATTTCCTTTCACAGTACAGCTGAAGAAATTTAAAAGCTTCAAGGCCTCATATCCAGCTAGATTTCATTCTGCTCCTGTTTTTTTAGGCTGTGAGGAGAAGAGGCTGCTGCCCAGGCTCTACTGAGACCCTCAGCAAGGTCTGGCTGCTGCGATAATAGGACCTGTGGGGGTAATGGGACGTGCTGCAGTTTCTACGCACCCACTGTCCTAAAGGACTGACAACAGGTGGAGCTATTTCTACCCATGTTTGATGGTCACCAGATGAGATATTCAATATCTTTTTTTGATGTCTTTCTTTCTTTGTTTCTTCTGCTTTTCCAGAAAGAAGCTGCCAGAAGGGAATTTTGTAAGCAGAAGATATGTATTGCTTTTGCAATACATGCTGGTGAGCATGGCACTTCTGCTTGCTTTCTTACTGAGCTTCACCTGTGACTAATACATTTCAGAACAATCTAACCCTTATTCTTTGGGCTCTTTGGTGCTTTAAGTGCCTTTTGTTCTCTTGTTCTGCACTTAACACAATGTATCTCTAACTTTGATGCTTCTAATCCTCCTGTTGTAGAAATAAATAATAATAATTACAGCAATCTGTCTCCAAGAAATTACTTTTTTAAAAGTAAAATATGTGTTCATTTCAAAGACTTTCTTATCATACAAATATGGCACCTGTTTTCAGCTAAGAGCAGGAACACAAATGCTATGATTCAGGGAGCAGAGCAGAGACTCAGGAAGTTAAGAAAATGTGTTGATTGCTTTATGAAGAAGTTGCAAGCTTATGAATCCTTAACACTGTGCAATTAGTGACTACCAGTGAAAACATACCCTCCTCAGGACATCAGCAAATCCATGAATTTCAATAAAGTTACAACTAAACCAATTAACAAGTGAACAAAAAATCAATTATTGTGAAACAGGCTAGAACAAAACAATGACAAATGCTAGTTTTAAAATAAGAATGGGGAAAAAAAACAAATTAGCTTTTCAAACATAAGCATTAACAGTCTACACATATTAACACATATAAGAATGATATATCTCATACAAATATTTACATGTGCATACAAAACACATCTGAAATGCAGCATTTAAAACAAAAGCCACAATCAATCCTACACGTATACATTAAAAGATGCTTGTTCTTTGATCTTCTTAGATATTACAAAAGACATCAAAATTGTGACTTAAACCAAAGAAATATTAATTAGACAAAGAAAAAATGTTACTTTATCTTGCAAGTCTTTTAATTCTAGCTCTTTGTAACAGCAGCTCAACTTACAAACAGAGGAAACCAGCCATGAGAATATACGATGTACTGCAGAGATCGTAATTCTTTCTTAAATTATAGCACGTGAAAGCTTTCTGGCTTTTTAATTTTTATAATGATGGGTTTCAGAGCGATGTCACATGTATGCAGTCTCTGGACACCTGAGTATAGGCTGTCATTAGGTCACCGTTTGTACAGATACAGTCTTGCTCTTGAGAATGGTGTCAGAGAACTCACTGTTCATGATCAAGCTTCTGCGACTTACCAGGAAGGAGTCCTCTTAGATTCCTGATATTTAGGGAGCTAATGGAGAGATTCAGAGACTCACAGCTTTGTATCAGATTGCTCCTGTTCATTACATTTCTAAGGCTAGATGGCAGCATTGTCAACTCTCATGATTTTTATCATAAGTTTCCTGATGTTTGGTATTTTTACATTAAAATGCCAGCTGTCAAAATACCAAGTTTCCCTCAAAAACTTAATGTTTCTTTAAAGCTGTGTATTCAGTTGTCTGATGGTCAGAAACATGGCTGGGGCTCAAAATACAGGGATGATAAAACTGGAGGGGGGAAGAAGACTCTAGGGATGATTTTACACAGCTGACAACTAAGCATAATCTAAATTACTAAATAAATCAATTACAATACTAAAAGAAATTATATTGATAATAAAAGAATCCTCCAGTCCTCCTTTTAGAAATAAGAGGCAAAGCCCAGTGCAGGTGGAGAAAAGCATTTTCCTCTTTTGTTTGCAGGATTAATGGTTATTTTTAGGCTGTCAACTTCATCTTAGACTTCAAAAGAGCTTTATCAACTTATCTGTTCTTATCCTGTTTCCACTTTGCCCTATTGTCATTTTATATAAGATACTCGTCAGAGATCATCTATTTTTATATCACTTCCAAATGCCAGCTACAACTCCAATGTGAAATAAATAAATAATTACAGTATTAATAATGTCAAGTATTCATTAAAAACACTATCATAACAACCTTCCAGGAGTAAATTCTTTTTATACTTGTAATCAGTTATGAAATATTCATTTGTTGTTGATCCTCTATACTGCAGTTAATTTGGCAGTAATTATGTGAAGAAAGTTACTAAAATTATACGGTGCTTAAATACTTATGCTGCTACCAAACTCACATTTGGATTATGAGATATCCCTTACTTAATATATTTTAGCTTTCAGTTGACTATCTCATTTAGATCACATTACCTGCATGTTTCAGTTTCTTTAAATGGCATTAACCTTTCTTATACCCACATTAAATGTCTTCACTTACTTAAAATACATGAAACTCATTACATGGTAAAATAATTCATGGTATAATTTATGGATATAAACTCTAAGCAGGACTGTTCAGTCTTTCTTAAATTTACTGTATAAGAAAAATTCCGCCCAATCTTATAGTGGAAATCTAATTAGTCTATATTCTCTTTGGATGTGCTTTGGCGTATTTTCAAACACAGTGGATTTTTGCCACGTTTTCATCTTCAACCTTCAACTACAGATTGCATACTTCATTCTTTGCACAATAGTCCTAGGATTTTGTTTTCCAGTCTTCAGCCTGTAGATACCTAAGGCCACTTGCTAGCAAAGTGTGGTTGCTAGTATAATTTAAACTTGTTGTGCATTCCATTTCCTAAATTCCTGTCTCAGAGGCCCATGGGTTAAGTATTCAAGCACTGAGTTTTAGAAACATTGTCACCAATGACCTCTCTTTATGAAAAATAACTTGAGCAAACCGTTATTTCTGGATATTCTATGTAATTTAGTGCAAACACTTGCTACAAATACTATTCTTTAATGATATACTGTGTTCAGTTTTCTATATTGAATATTGAAAGCCAAGGGATTTGATAATTTGCAAGGAATTTATGCTAATTTCAGAAAATATAATTTCCATTAAATATAAATAAATACATAAACCTATATAATATGCATATGTAGGTATATACATTTTTTTTAATCTGATACAATGTTGCTCACTGATTTAGATTTTCTGTCAGGCAAATTTAAATAGGAGATTTAATTTCAAGATGTTCTGACCAAAAGCGGAATGGCTCATTTTTTAAATTAAGTTTGCCATGCTGTTTCAAATCAACTGACAAACTAGTCATATGAATCACCCTATCAGTACATATCATTATAGATGGTGCTCTTATAAACCAAACTGACACAGTTAAGACATTCTAATAGTGAAGTTTTAATTTTTCCCTGATTAAGTTTTTGACATATTGTGAAAGGTACAGTACTCTGAAGGAATGCACTAAATTCTGGAAAATTTTAGAACAATGCCTAGATTTTAGTTGTAGATTTTCATAAGAAAGTAACTTTTCTTTATGCATCTGAGATAAGGGTCAATAATAACGTTATTATATATTCAAATTGTCCAACTCATTCATAAAATGTCTCATATAAAGACAGGTGTAAACTACAAATCATGTTCAATTACCTGATTTATTGTAACAGTAAAAGAAGAATTCCTTGGTTTGATTTTAATGTACATAAAAGCAGATATGAAAGGTATTAGACTTTTCCCCTCAGCATGTAATTAACTTCAGCTAGTTTAAAATATAAATATAGGATATATTAAAAATGTTCTGAACAAGATTCCTCTCTATCCTTGAATAGTACCCTGGAAATATTCCTAGAAATATCAGATTCATGTAATCTCCCACCTAAAGATTTCCAGCTATTGCATGCTAAAACAATGTTGAGGTTACTCTAGACTCAACTTCTGGAAGACATCCATCCTAAAAAAGGCAGATGTATCCCTTACTGCAGTATTCTTCCCCTTCAGAGTGGAAAGCACTGACCATTTACGTGTTGCAGTTGAAGATATATACTTCTACAATTAAATTGAAATGGATTTTAGAAATTTTTTGTCTGCTACCTCAAATATCCCTCTGCTGAGCCAGGCAGTAATTATCAGCCACCCAAACCCAAGTATGCACAAGCCATCAGCAAGGTCAGTTGCACTGCAGGATTTGGGGAGCTGGAATTGAAGAGCTGGGAGTGGCAGCACAGTTGAAAGCCCATGCAGTTAAAAGTGAATATATAAGGAAGAAATCATTAGCACTAGTCTTGGGTTTGCATGGCAAGCACTTGTCTTGGGTTTGTATGGCCAGGTTTTGATAGTGGGAGGGTGGAGGGCTACAGGAATGGCTTTCTGTGAGAAGCTGCTAGAAGCGTCCACTATGTCTGATGGAGTCAGTGGCAGCTGGCTCCAAGACAGACCCACCACTGGCCAAGGCCCAGCCCATCAGCAATGGTGGTAGAGCTCTGGGACAACATAGTTAAAAAAGAAATAATTTATTGCACAGGAGAAAACTGTGGCCAGAAAGGAGTGAGAATATGTGAGAGCAACAACTCTGCAGACACCAGGGTCAGGGGGACAGAGATCCACCTGCAGCCTGTGCAGGACACCACACCAGATACCTAAAGGAGGCTGTGACCCTTCCTGGTAGGACTAGTGGCCTCAAGGAGAGAGGAGACCAGGCTGCATAAGGTTTGCTGGCAAGACTTTTGACCCTGTGGGGAAACCACACTGGAGCGATCTGTTCCTGAAGGATTGCACTCTGTGGAAGGAACTCGCACTGGAGTTGGTTGTGAAGAACTGTAGCACGGTGGGAAGGACTCATGTTGCAGAATTTCATGGAGAACTGTGGGAAATGTCTCCTGTGCGAAGGACCCCATATTGGAGAAAGGGGAGGAGTCCTCCCCCTGAGTAGGAAGTAGAGGCAAAAAAACATGTAATGAACTTCTCTAACTCCCATTCCCATCTCCCTCCCCTGCTGGGGATGGAGAGAAGGTAGAGAATCATGAATAAAGTTAAACTCAGGAAGTAGAGAGGGGTGGGGGGAAGATGGTATTAAGTTTTGCGTTTGTTTCTCATTATCCTGCCCTGATTTGATTGGTAATAAATTCAACTAATTTCCTCAAGATGAATCTGATTTTTCTGTGATGGTAATTGGTGAGTGATCTCTCCCTGTCCTTAAGTCGACCCATGAGCCTTTTGTTATATAACTGAAATGCCCAGCTGAGGAGGGCAGTGATAGAGTAGCTTTGGTGGGTACCATGCATCCAGCCAGAGTCAACCCATGACACCACTTTAACCATCTCAGCACAACCACTCTGCCTTTATAAAACATTTCACCAAGCCTCCACAGAGCTATCAGCCATACTTATACATTATCACTTTGTGTGGTTCTCAAGACGAATGTTCTCTTACTGGGTGTCATTCAGCATCAAAACTGAACAAGGCGGTCTTTGAGAAAAAGTGAAATGAACTGTTGTGTTCCTACACAACAGGAAGACCTACAGGAGAGACAAATATTTTTATTTCTTGAAGGTGGAATATAATGAGACTTATGTGTTGTTAAATTCAGACAGTCCACTGCACTGCCTGTGATTTTGATCATTCTTGAGACAAAGTGCAATAAAAGGCTTATAGGAGATGAAAGGAAGAAAAGCGTATGAAGCCTGAATATCACCAGTAACTGCCTAATAATCAAG